CCTGAATACACGTTTCCTTCAAGGCAGTCCCATCAGCTCAGTCAGCCACACTAGTCATTTCTGATATCCCTTTGGACCCCTTTCCATTTTCACAGCTATGACAAGTGTTCTTTTTGTTTTGTTTTGTTTTTTCGAGACAGGGTTTCTCTGTGTAGCTTTGCGCCTTTCCTGGATCTCACTCTGTAGCCCAGGCTGGCCTCGAACTCACAGAGATCCGCCTGGCTCTGCCTCCCGAGTGCTGGGGTTAAAGGCGTGCGCCACCACCGCCCGGCTAGATAAGTGTTCTTATCTGGACATGTCCACCCTGATATGGTGGAGACTGGGCCTAAGAGCTCTGCCACTGAATACTCTCTAACCCCTCCTCCCTTTTCTTTTTTTCCCTTCTTTGGTAACCTTGTTTTTAAACAGTCCTACAAGTTGCCCAGGTGGGCCTTGAACTGGAAATTCTTACGCCTCAGCCACTCGGGTAGCTGGGCTTATAGGCCTGAAGCCACTAGACCAAGCTATCGGTTACCTTTTAAAAATTAAGAAGTCTCATAAGAAGTCTTTTCTTAATTTCTTAGGGCTGGACAGATGGCTCAGTGGTTGAGTGCACTGACTGCTCTTCCAGAGGACCCGGGTTCAATTCCTAGCATGCACATGGCAGCTCACAACTGTCTGTAACTCCAGTTCCAGGGGATCCAAATTTTCACACAGACATATATTTAGGCAAAACACCAACGCACATAAAATAATAAAATAAACATTAAAAAGTAAAAAAAGGACTCTCCCAAATATTTAAAAATTAGGGACTCTTGAAATCTCTGGTTTGGGTAACATAATAAAAAAGTTGTGCCTACCAGCCAGATTAGTAAATATTAGCACTCTGGCATTCTGCTTATGGTTTTTATTTTAAAGAAACGAAGCATCACAAACAGTTAAAAATCCCTTCTATTCTCTTTGCTGGTCCTTCTGCTTCCCTCCTCCCTCCCAGAGACACCAGAATTGCTGTGTCTAATTTGAACTCACTTTTGTTTGTTGTTGTTTGGGGTTGGTGACCTTGCATGTGTGCCCCTGTGGAAGCTGGAGCATAACCTCAGGAGTTATCCTCAAGAACTCTGTCATTGCCGGGTGGTGGTGGCACACGCCTTTAATCCCAGCACTCCAGAGGCGGAGCCAGGTGGATCCCTGTGGGTTCGAGGCCAGCCTGGTCTACAGAGCGAAATCCAGGACAGGTACCAAAACTATACAGAGAAACCCTGTCTCGGAAAACCAAAAAAGAAAAAAAAAAAAAAAAAGAACTCTGTCATTTGAGACCATGTCTCTTATTGGCCTAGAGTTTAACTAGGCTAGCCTGGCTGGCCAGCAGACTCTGCCGTCTCTGCCTTCCCAGCGCTGGAATTACAAGCGTTTTCACATGGTTCAGTGATCTAACTCAACTCCTGCAGCTTCCAGGGCAAGCACTTTACTGACTGAACCGTCTCCCCAGCCCAATACCCACGCTGCTATACTTTTAATATATCTGCCTCTGCCTCACAAGTGCTGGGATTAAAGGCATGCGCTACCACGCCCGGCTGAAGATTATTCTTTTATGTTTAAAATATAAACTGTATGCTTTGGATTTCAGTTTACAGCTTACGTTTATTTATTTGCTTTTTTCCCTGAGAGCTTCGGACTCTGTGCTTATGCCTTCAACACTTTTACAACTATTTTCTGCTCCTCAGTAAGGAAGCACACTTGATCTTGTCTCGGACACGCTTGGCACACCTGGAACCGCCATAGACCCAGCTGACATGCTTCCTTGTTTTAGACGATCTCGTTCGTATGGGCTTGAGATCTCACAGCAGGAACCCCCTCACACCACATTCGGAGGTAGTGCTTTCTCAACCTTCTCGGTGTAAAGGTGAACAATCCTGTTGCCAGGGGTTCGAAACAGCCTAGTTTTGTTAGAGGCTGTATCGTAGGAAAGCCTATGATGGTATGTCAAATGCTGGACCATTCTGAGCACTGTCCCCGGGAGAGGAAAAAGAAAGAACAGCTGTTTACTTACTTATGTATTTGCATGTGTGCATTTGTGTCTGGGTTTGTTTTAGATAGGGCCTCACTGGCCTGGATCCTTCTGCCTCAGTTCCCCCAAGTGCTGGTATCACAGACAGAGGCCACTATTCCTGGGTTGTAACTTGCTTTTTATCGCTCGGCACTGCTTTTGAGATACATTCATGTCAGTGTATATAGATCAAGTACTTTCATTTGAAGTGTTCATTGTGAGAATATAATAAACCCATCTGACAGGGGTGTGGCTTTTCCCCTCCTATTTTGCTATTGAAATTACATGGAATGTCCTCATATGTGTCTCCTTATATGAGAGTTTCTAAACTTTTGTTTGAACTTTTCAAGGGAGGTGCATGTCTCTGAGGAACATTTGAGAATTTGTGAGGCCATATTTAGTTATTATTATGGTTGGAATAGACCAGAAAGCTGAGAATGTTGGGTGTGCAGTGTTGGGACACTCCTCAGATAAAGAATTGCCCTGCATCTTGTGCAACTTTCCAGTGTTCTCATTTAAAAATTATCTGGGTCTAGAACCTAACTACATTTTTTTGTGTTCACATACATTTCTGGCACAGTTTAATGAAGTGTAATTTCCAGGAATGTAAATCAAGGGAAACTTACACTGATCTGGGGTTTGGAACTTGAACAAGCCAGGGTCCTCCATCTAGAAAACTCATGTAACTGAAGGGCAGCACAGCTCGTGGTATTTGAGTTGCCAGCACAGCACACCTGCATAGTCTGCACGTGGCGCTTCCGCACGCACGCAACGCACACACGCCGATGCTAAGTTTAGGTGCGAGCATCTGGCTACTGTACTTCATTATGTATTCTCGTGTAGTCAGCCTGCACACTCATATATTTAAACATATGCTCGTTCATGATAAATTACTTCCACTAAAAATCGACTTCTGTACGTGCTACAGAGTAGAGGTCGAGTTTTATTGTTGTCTGGTTAGATAATCGTTTATGTCACCACCACTGGGGAGCCCTTGACGCACTGGGCCACGAAGCCATCTTCTTCCTAGGGAGGATGAGGTCCTCACAAGTGCACAGACCTGTGTCTGGGCTTCCAGTTTCGTGCTAGTGGTCCATGTGTCTTTGTCTCGCTGTTTTAACTACCTTGGTTTCATAATGCGTCTGTGGCAGTTGGTGGGCGTGTTGCCATCCCTAGTTCTCAGAGTGCTGGTGGCTATTCTTGGCTCTTTACTCTCCTGTGTGAATTCAGGATTCATTTTCCAGTTCCTTAAAAAAAAAAAAGTATTTTTGGATTTTGGTTAGAATTGCACTGAATTTTTACGTTAAGAAAAATAGAGATTTTTTTAAAATTAAGCCAACTCATCTAAAAGCATAAGTTACTTCTCTACACAGCCTGCTCTATCCCACTGTCCAGGTACTTTTAAAGGGCCTTTTCATGAAGTTGCATAATTTTAGCTACAAAGATCTTAACAAATATTTGTTGCATTTAATTATACTTGTACACATGTGCATATGCATACCTGTTTTTACTGTGCAAGTTTGAACTCCATTCAGATCTTTAGAAAACTGTGAAGCTAACATCTACTCATCTGTCACCCAGCTTCAAGAGCTAGCTCATGACTAGTCTGTTTCACATCAGCTTCTCATCCCCACCCCCTCTCCCCAAATACCATGAAATGCCCAGGTACAATGTTCACTGTCTGTAATGTGTTGTGCATGTCTATGTAGATTCATGCGTCATAAAGAATCTATACCTTTTTTTTTTTTTTACTCTAAAGGGAATCTACACCTTTAAAAAAGTATTTTACATAAAAAATTAAAAAGGTAACACTCTTGATTTCATTAACTATCCAATGACTGTTGAGTCATTTCACAAAAGGCTTGTGTAGTTAAGTGTAACACAATAGAAAATAGCAGAAACCTCAAGTATCTGTAGCTGGATACTGATTACCAAAGTCACAAAGCCAGGTAACCAACACCCAGATCAAAAACCAGTTTTATTATCCATGCCCCATCCAATCAGTCAGGGTACTCTGGAGCAGTTGGACCTGTTTTTGAACATCATATAATTGGAATCTACAATGAACTTTTTACTCTGTCCTTCACTTAACACTTGTGAAACTCACCTGTGTTGTTGGATGTGATTGTAATTTATTCATTTGTATTGCTTTATGCTATCATTTGTATGATCGATTGTGTGCATATGCTCTATGTCTTTATAGACTGCCATTGACCTTTTGACTATCTGGTAGATATATAGAGATACTTCATTTGATTTTTATCTGCATTTTTCCAGTGGCTAGTGAGGTAAGGACCTTTACATATATTAGCCATTCAGCTATCCTCTGTATGAAGTTTATTCTCATTTTTACTCTAATTTATTTCTGAAATAATAATAAAATCCATTAATTTGGGTTTGCCATTTATTATGACGCTTTTGTCTATTTTGACTGTACATTTTGAGGCTTTGTGTTAGGTTCATATTTCCTTCAGGTTACATCTCTTGGCTAAGTTATTCCTTTCAAAACTGTTCTTACTGATGTTTTCATATATTTTACATATATTTTCTTGTTACTAATTTGCATTTTATTACATTACTTATTGCTCCACTAACTTCCATTTTATTTTGTTTTACCCACTTGTGGCAAGCCACACAAGATGAAGTTGCCCAACCTAACCATTTGGAGCATGCAGTTCGGTAGTGCTCAGTGTTTACATTACTGTGAAGCAGATCTCCAGAACTTTCATCCTGCAAGGCTAGAACTCTGTGTTTATTGTCATTGCCCCATTTCCTCCTTTTCCCATATCTGCTTTGCTAGTTTCTGCCTCATATGCCTTTTTCAAAGTTAAGTTTTCATCTTCTCATTTGCGTTTTCTGTCATTTTTGTACAGAGCTGCTTTTATTTTTTTAAATCCAGAATGAGAATATTTCAAAGTCAAGTCTGGGGTGCTTACATTTACTGTGAGTCCGTGATTATCGCTGCATAATAAATAAAAATGTTATATTCCACGTGATACAGAGGGCTGCACCCAGGGCCTCGTTTGTGATAGGTGTGTGCTCTACCATTGATCTGCATCCCCCAGCCTATTTCATATTCATTTCTTCTTTCAAAGCTTTGTGTGCTGGTTGGGTGTATGTTTGTGTGGGTGTGTGCATGTATGTGTGCAGGTCTATATGCAAGTGTGTGGTAGAAGCCAGAGGTCAATGCCATGCGTCTTCTTTGATTGCTTCCCCACCTTACTTTTCAGACAGGATTTCCCACTGAACCTGGAGTCCACCAACTGGCTAGATTGGCTAGCCAGTGAGCTCCAAGGCCCTCCTTTCCCCACATCCTAGTGCTGGGATCACAGGTGGACACCCCTGCCGTTATGTGAGTGCTGGAGATTGGAACTGGGGGCCTCATGCTTGTTCAGCAGGCCCCTCGCCAACTTAACCAGTTCCCCAGCTCCCTCACAGTTACTCTCGAAGGAGCCTTGCATGTGTGCTGAGTGTTGTCCCCAACAGCGACTTTAGTCTGTTGGGGATCCTGTAGGTTTCTCACGTTTATTGAAGTTTCTGTAGTTAATTGTAGTTATCTATTTTTTGTAGTTGTTTGTTGTAGCTATTTATTTAGTTCTTGTATTTATTGTATTTTCTTTGGGTTGCCAGCTAACAAAAAACGACATGGAGGCTTATACTAATTATGAAGGCTCGGCCTTAGCTTAGGCTTGTTTCTAACTAGCTCTTATAACTTAACCCATTTCTATTAATTTACTTTCTGTCTCGTGGCTTTATTACCTCATCTCCGTACTGCCCGTCCTGCTTGCTCTTTGTCTCCTGGCGTCTTCACCTTCTTCCCAGCATCCTTGCTGTCCAGAAATCCTGCCTGGCTATTGGCCATTCAGCTTTTTATTCAACCAGTCAGAGTGACACATCTTCACAGTGTACAAAAAGGTGATTCCACAACAGTTCATTGTAGTTAATCTTTCTATTAGGAATCCCATACAGCCTGATAGTGGGACCCTAACTCTGTGCTTGTAGGTAATGCAGGCTTAGGATTCAGATTTCTCTCCAGTTGGCCTTTTTTTTCTTATTTTTTTTTTTTTTTTGCCATAGCCTGAGTCATTGGCCTGCTTTTTTCACCTAAGTTCTTAGTAGATTTTTCGAAGTCTATTCAAACACTGCTGGGCCCTCAAAGGGCCCAACGTTATACCCTGTCCTCTCCTTGATTCTGATTCTATGTACCATAGGCTGGAGTCTCACTGGAGGAGCCCTCCTAGGCCTCCATCTGCAGTCAGGGCCACTGTGGACTTTGAGCCCAGTTCCTCCTTACCCATCAGGCTTTGGGTGTACATTAGATTCAGAGCCCTTTAGAATGTTACATATTAACGTTTTAAAGTTTCCATTTCGCTAATAGGTTCCCCTGTTCTGTGAGGCACTCCCCTTGTTAGCGGTGTGCAGGTATTAACCAGCAGTCTCCATCATCTTTCTACACTTTGCTGTGACCTTGTCACCCCTTCACTTGCATTTTGCGGACTGGTCAGCCTGGCTTCACTTACTCATCAGCAAATATTTGTTGCACACAATCTTCATGCTGAGAACCGGGGATAGCAGGGTGGGGAAAACAGTTTCTGCCCTCGGGGGTTTATTATCTTAATAAGAGAGACAAAGTGAACTTGTAAACAAATGAATACAAGTGTTAACCCTGGAGGCTGAGGTGATAGCTCAATAGTACAGCATTTGCCTGGCCTGCAGGAGCCTGGGTCATTACCTACCGTTGGGGAAGAGTGCTCCAAAAGAACTAGCCGGAGAGAGACTAACTCTTTTGGAGAGTTACTGTAGCTTTTGCTGGGATATGTATCTTTTTTCCTTTGTCATCCTGACTAGGAGCAGTGTTTTCCATGTGGGCGCAGCACAGTGTTGATTGAATAAACTTTTTTTCTTTTTCTTTTTTTTTCCAGTTCATGCTTAGAGTCTCTTTTCCAGTAAGCTTACAACGGAACACCTCAATCTATTTCCATTGTATTTAAATCATAAGGTAAAGAAGTCCAGAAACCTACGGACGACTCTGTTTTCTGAAGATGGGCCTCTGATACTGAAAGGGAGACTTGGGGAGGTGCTCCAGAACGGTGTTAGCTCATTAGCGGAGTGAATAGTGTCCGCCAAAAGATGTCCACACCTAACTTCCAGCATCCGTAAATGTGATTTTATTTGGCAGAAGGATCTTTGCATGTGTGATTAAGGGCCTTGTCTAGTGATAATGGGCAGACAGAAGACAGGGGGGACGTGTCATGTGGAGTTGATGGCAGTTACAGGAACCTTGTAGCCAGGGAAATCCTGGAGCCACCAGAAACTGGAAGACCCAAGAAAGCATCTTGTTTTAGATCCTGGGTGTTGCCCCATGGACACCTCTGTTATAGACTTATGGTCTCAAGAACTGAGAACGAATTCCTCTTGTTGTGAGCCTCCATTAGGAAACCGACACTAACTTGCCTCTTGTGTAACTCAGATGTAATAGTACGTTTCTGATTGCCATGACTAAACACGCCAGGTCTGGTAAAGCACTTAGCATATTGTAAGTGCCCCAAAGGGTGGCATCTTCGTTTAGGGACTGGGAGTTTTCTTCCTTCTGTGAACAAGAACTTGACGACAGAGTGGAAATTTCTGCCTTGTGATGGCCTGCTGAGATCAAGTTCATACCTCAGATTTAACTAAAGTTTCGGCTTCTGCGTTGGCTCTGCAGTCATCTGAGAGCCCTTGGTTAGGATGTGTGGACAGAGAGAGCTTAGATTTCTAATGTGAGCTCAGGTGGAAGTCAAAGCAGAGCCGAAGAGACCAAATTGAAACGACAACGTGAGACCAGAAAGCAGCTTCATCCCAGCCCCCAGATTCCCCACCCCTATTCCTACCCAAAGAAAACTCTGGGTTCAACATTCTCAGTTTTCATTAAGGGACTCTGGGGCTGGACATTCCCGAAAATTAAAGACCCATCATGAGTGAGCCTCCAGACATACTGGTCATCAGGATTGCTCATATTGAGTTCAGGCTTTCTATGTTGTCTGAATACTAGGCGCACACGACGGGGGAGGGTGGTCCAGCCAGAGGTTAACGCTGCCCTCTGTCCCCTAGGATGGCTGGCATGGTGCTGGGAGTGGGTGCTGGCGTGTTCCTCCTCGCTCTGATCTGGGTGTTGGTGCTGCTGCTGTGTGTGCTGTTATCCAGAGCCTCTGGGATAGCTAGGTAAGGCGTTCTTTCCAGCCTGGAGTCCTAGGTAAAAGCAATTAGAGGCAAAAATCGCTGATGCTCATTAAACATTTAGAATTCAGAAGATCATTTTTGTAATTACTGGCAGTTTGAATGAGTTGCATTTTAACCTCTTATCATAAGCACTAACTGTGTTATTTATGCTCAGGCAGAGGTGGGAAGAGGGCGGAAGTGCGTCTCAGCTCTCACTGTGGGGGCATGAGGGAGACCAGAGATGACAAGCAAAGCTGCTTTGGCTGTTGTTGTGTTCCTTGGGAGCTGTAGGTGGAAGTTTTGTCTAATTGTTCAGATTTATGACACATGCTTGGTCCGGTCCCTAAGGCTCCTTCTAGCCCGGGCCCACGGACACTGAAGTTATAGTGAGTTGGCCTGGCCCTCTGTATCAGGCTATAACCTAGCCCCGGAGACACTTGAGATACACTCTCTGGGAGGGCCATGTCAGTAATAAATGGAGAGCTACAGTATTTACTGAAGTGTTCTGGTCTGAAAAGAGCAAAAGTGTGTGGGGATGGGGGAGGAGTGTGTGTGTGTGTGTGTGTGTGTGTGTGTGTGTGTGTGTGTGTGTGTTCTCGTAAACACACTTTGTACAGAAAACTCGGAATTCCCATTGTTAGGAATTGGGAATTACCAGGAATAAATAGGAATGTACTCAGCTGGTACCTGTCTTAGGAAGCAAGGCTTTGGGGTGGAGGACTTTGTGGACCTCAGCATAGAATGCTGACCCCAGGGAGGAGCCCGCCCAGGCCCCACTGATTAGAAGTAGATGGTCAGCAGTGCCTTTGATACTCAGTCTCTTTGCTTCCAGGTTCTCCATTGTCTTTGTCTTCCTTGGTGCTCTGATAATCACTACAATTCTACTGCTTTTCCCTCGAGCCAGTGAATTCCCGGCCCCAGAGATGGAAACGAAGGTAAACCTACTGGGTTTCATTCTTGGCCCAATCTCAGCTTCCTCCATCCTACCCTGCGACCTGTCCAAACAATATGGTGCTCCAGGAGAGTTGCAAGGCCTCTGTCCCTTTCCCCTGGGGAAGGGTCTGTGAATCCCACCTGCAGCAGCACCAGGCAGTCATTTACCTGGTGTGCTATCATCTGCTGCCTGCGTCAAGTTGAATGGCAGTGTGGAAAACCACTCCTCACCGTGGAGACAGAAAGACAAGAGTCAGGAACTAGGAACTGGCATAGGCTTTAAGTGTGGTGTTCCCCATTCCGGGTAGCCTTGGTCCAGAATCTCAGCCCCTGGGTCAGAACTGATGTAGTGTTCTCAGGGTGCTGAGTGACATGATTTTCCATCCTCTGAGGTTGACTTTTTCCACTTGTGGTGTCAAAAGAATCATTTCTGTCAACAAGAGTCGTGGGTAAGAGGAGCCTTTCCAGGAGAAGCCGAAGGGGACGTTGCAGAGAGTTCTGTACCAATGACTCTGTTATCCTTACTCCTTAGACCACACCAGCCAGCCCTACTTCTGTAAGTCGGTGTATGTCCCTCTCTCATTGTCCCATTTCAGCAGACCTCACCTGTTCCGGTTCATTCCTGAGGTGGGGCTCAGGTTCTGTCATGTGTGGCTGGTCTCAAACCCCTAGGCTCTTGCTAAGGGTGCTGACCTCTTCTGTCCCATTACATCTTCTTGTGGCGTTCTGTTTCCTCTCACTAGCTACTTTAATTTTGAAGGTGAAACAATGATGTGGCTAACATTTCTTAGAAGACTACTGTATACCAAGACCTGTGCTCCACACCTTGTTTACATTGTCTCACTGAAACCACACAACACTGCATGTCATGTGAAGTAGACCCTGTTGTTTTTCTAGGTAAGAGGTTCAGGTGACCTGCTTGAGTTGACACTGTCCAGGAAGAAGGAGAGCAAGGATTTAAGCTGAGCTCTGTCCTCAAAGTCTTCAAACTTGTCGGAACTCAACAGAATATCTCAACAGAATATTCTCCAGATCTGACAGATTGTCAATCTGATATGGCCCACAAAATTACATAATTTTTGACATAAAATGAGCACATACTTCCAGTTCTGGAAACTCTAAGGGAAATTGTGCTTACCACACAGATTCCAGGAGTTATTCCCTTGGAACAGGCTCTCTCTATATCTGTCCCACCCCAGTGTCTTTGTTTTTGGGAGAAAAGAGTGATGTGTGCTGCCATATTTTTAATTACTGCAAATGTGACTGCTACAACAGGCACAGAACAAGCACCACTCCTAAATCAATCCTTCTAGTCTGTCATAGAAGTTTCGGACTCAGGAGACAACAGGGATTGAGCAAAATATGTTTGTCAGCACGGCCAGCAGAATCAGAGTTCTCATTTTCAGGTTCTGAGAGCTGGCCCCTGCAGCAGCCTGGCTCAATACTGTATCAATAATACATGGCCTGGGCCTTCTGCACCCAAGGCCTGCTAATTGGCTAATTAAAAAGTGAAACAGTCGAGCGAGCAAACATGTAGCCCGCAAGAGACTTGTTCGGTACCAGAGCCAAGGTCAACGTTACATTAAAGCTGTTTTATCAAACTGACCTTGATTGTAAGTTGACTGTTGGGGTAGTCTCTGGAGCAGCTGGGGTGGCTGCAGCCTTCTTCTTGGTGTCTTTGGACCTCACACATACCAATGCTTAGATTGTTCAGGACCTTTGTGCATCAGCATTGTATTAGCTTTCTGTTGCTGCTGTAACAAATTCCTGCCATACATTTATTATCTACAGTTGCGTGGGTTAGAAGTCCATCATCAATCTCCCTGAGTTAAAATCAAGGGTGAGCAGGGCCATGCATCTTTCCAATGGTTCTGGAAGAATGCCCAATTTCCTGACCTCTTTTAGCTCTAGAGGCTGCTCCTAGTGCCTGGCCCATGGCCTCCGTCTATGGCCATCCTCAGAGCCGGCAGTGGGTTACATCCCTGACTGCATCCATCTCACATTTCTTTCCCCAAACCTGTTTTCTGCCTCTTCTTTCATTTTGTTTTGTTTCTTGAGACGAGGTCTCACTATGTAGCCTTGGCTGGTCTGGAACTCATTGGAGATCTGCTTACCTCTGCCTCCAAAGTGTCTTTAGTTTGTAAGGACTCTGTTTACATTGGGCCTGCCTGGATTGGACAATCCAAGCTAATCTCCCTTCCTTCAGGTCACAACCTTAACTCCATTCTGTCATGAGTCAGTGTGTTTCTAGGGACTAGGATCTCTGGGCCATTATTTAGGCTGTGACAGTTACTGTCAGCTATTTGGGAACCTCTCCCGGAAATGAGTTCTCAGGGCTTCTGTGAAGTTAGGCACTCATTTGGATTATGATACCTGCTTTCCCCACCCACTTAAGTACCACTGCTTCACTCTGGGGTAAAGAATAGGGCTCTGTTCTCTGGAAATGGACAGCAGGCAGCTGGGGAGAGCCAGTACCAGATACAGGTTTTTGTCAACAAAGACCAGTAGCATTAGAGCTTCACGTAAGACTGGTTACCAAGCAACCAGCTGTATGCTGGGGTAAGTTATGTACCTTTTAGTGTTTTAATGTCTTAGATAAGTGGCCACTTTCCTCACTCCCTTGCAATTAGGGCTCAGAACTCTTGTGATGAGAGCTGAAGTCTTCTCATTCTGAAAGCCACCCTTTCTTCTAAATTGAACCATTTGTTTCCTGTGCCCTATTATTATTAGTAGTATTAGTAATTAGTTGTTGCCCCCTCCCCACCCCCTTCTTCAAAAACCTTGTATCTTCTACTCGGGTGCTGAAAGTTTTCTTACTCATATGCAGAGGGAACCCAGGGCAGGATGCTACTGGGAGTTACCAAGAAGCCTTGGGCACTGCCATCAGATCTCAGAGGAACACAGGCAGGGTGCTGGAGTGGCGGTGATTCCACTTTGGTATTTTCTTTCTCCAGATTGTGGATGCCTTTTTCATCGGCCGCTATGTCCTGCTGGCTTTCCTCAGTGCAGTCTTTCTTGGAGGCCTCTTCTTGCTTCTTACTCATCATGTGCTGGAACCAATCTATGCCAAACCACTGCGGTCCTGCTGAGGATGGTAACGGAAACATGGGACATTTTGATGCCATGGATGAGCACAAAGGCACTCACTGGAGCATTGATGACGACCTTCATGTCTTCAGACCAGAGGCATGACTGTTTGTCACTAAGACAAACCTCTTGAGCCCTGGCTTTTAGAACTCAGCAGCAAAACCGACCCTGGGTGTAGATTGTCACCATCTGAAGATGGATCTGACTGTCTTCTCGGTACCCATACTCCAGAACTTCTGTCTGTTTTGAATGGGAAGTAGTGACAGTGATCTGCTTGGGGCAGATGTTCAGTCAAGCCATCAGTAGTGGATTTGGGGAGAAGAAGGCTCTGTAGACCAACAGAAGATCCTGGTCCTTTTGTTTGGAAGAGAAAGGCATTCAGACACGAAAGGCTGCTTTACTGTGATAGCTTAGAGGTTGTATTCGGCAGCAGTTAGTGACCACTCCTTATGTAATTCCACAGAGCTCTAGAAAGTGAGTGGCACTTGCCTGCGTTCTAATAAAGCAATAAACAGCTACCAAAGGGCTTTCTCTTCAAACTCCTGCCTGCAGCTTTTATAAATTTACGTTTTAAGTTTGCTTAGAGATTAGAAGAGAGGTATGGAAATGTTAGATGTCTTCCTACCGTGTATCTTGGGTCTTCTTCCAGGGTTTGGTGGCCTCTGGATGCCTTATTTAAGTATTTAGTGTCATGTAGGAGTCCTCTTTGGGCTTTGGCCCTTTTTCTTTTTACTTTGGTAGTATTGGGGATTGAACCTAGGGCTTCACACATGATAGGTAAGTATTTTACCATCCTATCCCTCTATTTTATTTATTTATTTATTTATTTTTTTGGGTTTTTCAAGACAAGGTTTCTCTGTGTAACATTCCTGGCTATCCTGGAACTCACTCTGTAGACCAGACTGTCCTCAAACTCACTGAGATCCATCTGCTTCTGCCTCCTGAGTGCTGGGATTAAAGATGTGCACCACCACTGCCCGGCTTCTCTGTTTACTTTTTATCTTGAAGAAAATTGCACTAAGTTACCCAGGCTGGCCTTGAACTTCCTCTGTATCCCAGACAGGCTTTGAACTTGCCATCCTGCCCTAGTTTCCCAGGTAGCTCGGATTTTAGACCTGAACCATCAGGCCTGACCTTTTTATACTTTGTCAATTGGTTAGTTGGCTAATTTATTTAAGACAGGGTCTCACTAGGGATCATGGGCTGGCTTGAACTCTTGATCTTTTTGACTCAGTCATCTTGAGTACTAGGATTACAAGTGTGCCCCGACATGCCTGCCTCTCTGTTTTCATCGTGGAAATTCTTTCTCCAAAGTTAGTAAGGCATGCATATTCTCAGCATTATTATAACTTTACATTTGTCTAATTTCCCAGATCAATAAAATTTGTCACAAATGGGGTAGAGGGTCTGATCTGGTTCTGCTTTGGAAGTGCCATCCTGCCTGTCTAGAGCAGAGTGGAGAGGAGTCTTCTATTCTGAGAGCCAGAGAACAAGCTGGAAAGGCGAGTCAGTGCCCGCCAGGTGCCTGGGCTGTAGCCATTCCTTTGGGACCTCAGATTTACAACAGTCTATTTATTATGACTGCTCTTATTTTTAAATAGAAAAGTCCTGAGGTTTAAGGTGATGAACTCACTTGGGCTTTACACAGCAGCCAGTTGGCAATCCTAGATGTGGCAGAATCCGGTCCCTCTCGCAATAGATGAAAACCCTCTCTGGATGAGAACTTGAGAGAGCAGGGCCACTTCTTTGTCCTCTCTCTCCTTGGTACTGTTTGTTGTCAGGCTATAGGAAAACCCGGTCCTACGGCCTCATGGGAGCTCAGCCTCAAATGACCAGGGGCCAGAACCAGTGACTGTTGGGAGTCAGGGTTGGTGAGGACCAGGTACAATACCTCCACTTGAACTGACTCCTTTGGGGAAACTTCCCAGATGAGGTTTTATTCGGAAACCTTCAAATGAAACTGATTCTTAGTCTGACTTAGGGCCCATGAGGCAGAGATGGAAGACATTGCTCTGGGAATGGAGTGGAGAGGGGGACATGTGGAAACTGTGAAGGCAGTAGACAGTCTGGAGCTCAGGCTCCTTCACAGTGCACAGAAGCTTCCAGGTGCCTGTGAGCCTCCCTCTAGGGTGCCTTAACCGACCCAGGTGGAGCACCAACCCTGACTATCACAGACTGCCTCGTGCCTCCTCCTGAGAAGCTTGCTGCCAAGGCGACTCTGGAAGGAAGGGCCTAGAAAGGTTCCTGAAAATGGAGCTTTTTATTCTTCTGCGAAGGTGTTCAACTAGAAGCCAAAGATATCAGAAGTGTTTGGGGATTCTGATCCCTGTCCTAGTTCATAAATGATTTAGGGTTACGGCTTCAGAGGGGGCAGTGTTAGAGAAGCAACCAAGGCCCATGGAGGGTAAACTTCTGGTCACGAGGGTGAAATCTCTGGCCTGAGTAGAGACCTAACAGCCCAGCTGGGCTGGGTCAGTCACCTGGCCAAGGGATCAGCCTGAGGACAGCAGGTTCCCTTTACCCATACTAAAGAGATAGCTGGGATAATGATCCTTTCAGCGAGATACTATGCTTAGGTAGGTCCCCTTACTTTTCTAAGTACTAACTCAGAAAGAGGCAACTTTTTCTTCTTCCTCTTCCTTTCAGATGTTGGTCAGAACCTAAGTCCACTTTTTCTGATAGTTTGGGCTTCTCTACTTTTTCTGTTCAGCCGTTGCCCTCCCCGCCACGTGGTGCCAGCTGCCTGTCCTGCACCAATGCTGGTATCGCAGAGATTTTGTCTTCTGCATGTTCCTCCTCCAGGCAGCTGCTGAGATCAACAGCTTACCTAGCCTGGGGTTTTGTCTTTTAAATTCTAATAAAATTGTCCTCGAGCTTAAAAATAAAAATCTATAAAACTGGGGCTGGAGACGTGGCTCAGAGGTTAAGAGCATTGGCTGCTCTTCCAGAGGTCCTGAGTTCAATTCCCAGCAACCACATGGTGGCTCACAACCATTTGTAATGAGATCTGGCGCCCTGTTCTGGTGTGCATGAAGACAGAGCATCCATGTACATAAAATATATGAATAAATAAATCTTTAAAAAGCTCTACAAAACCAAAACAACAATAATAAAAGGTATCTATAAAGTCAGTAGATAATAGCTATGAAATTTTAGTTATCTACATAGGAACTTGGTAAAGGTGAAAAAAACCTAAATTCCTTCCCAAATATCATTGCCATACATTTTTTTTAATTGGTGTAGATGAGAGGCTTATATATTAAGAGCTGGCTTTATACAATGTGGACACAAAAACGTGTGCACACATACACCATATAAAGCATTTAAGCTCGGCTTTCTTTTTTTTTTTTTTAAAGATTTATTTTATTATGTATACAGTGTTCTGCCTACATGTATGCCTGCAGGTCAGAAGAGGGCGCCAGATCTCATTACTGATGGCTGTGAGCCACCATGTGGTTGCTGGGAATTGAACTCAGGACCTCTGGAAGACCAACCAGTGTTCTTAACCTCTGAGCCATCTCTCCAGCCCCTTGGCTTGCTTTCTACAGTTCTTATTTGTAATAACTAGTATGGTGAGATCAAATGATTACTTTCATTTCAAGGTAATTTTGTCCAACCTTAAAAAACAAGTAGCAACAAAAACCCAGAAGTGGGAGGCTGAATGAAACAATGAATTTCAGAGATGTCAACATGGGACACCCCTACAGTGATGTCTGCTGCATCCCTCCTCATGTTCGGGGCCTGCCTGGAGACAGGCTTGCGTAGCGTTATCCCCCAAATACCAATCCAAATCATCCCAGTGTCCGTTAGCCATTCTCTCTAGAGGGCACGTCGTGCTGTTGGTTCGCTGTCCAGAAAGACTGGTGATTCCCCACTGTTTGGAAAGTGAAAAGGAGAGGAAGTCTAGGAGAGAACAAACCATTCCATAGCCTTCCAGGATGGTATCCTGACGAGCTAAAGTAGCAGGACCTCCCAGCGCCATTACAGTGGAATGTCTGTCCAGTCAGTTAAGCGATACTGTGTAATAGTTTAGAAATGTCTCAAACCAGCAAAGCATACTGAGTAATGTTTTGAGAAGCAACTTAAATTTCTCACTAGTAAAAGGGAAGAAAAGCTAGATTCCTTTCTGATCCAGGGTTTCAGATAGTGAATGTAAAAATCCATTAGAGGAATTGTATCAGTGCTCAGGCACTGGGCACACAGCGTTTCTTCGTCCACAGAACACACTCTGCACTTCAACACTGATGAGTGCTGATGGAGTGAGGCAATGGAAGGAGCAGGATGGAGGAGTCCAAGGTATTTCAGATGCTTTTACTCTAATAAATTAATCAATTTCCTGTTCTGCTCTTCAAGACCTCAACTTTTCTATCAACTCAACTTCATTGCTGCTGAAGCTAAGTATTTCTACCTGACTCTGATGTGTAAAGAAATGTGCTGTTATTTCTCAAATGAGAAACAGGCAGAGAAGAGGACAGGTTTGAACGTTCTCAGCTGGTAGTAGTGACCCTCAAGGCACTGGCACCAACTCCCCATGCATCCCTTGCATTTCATATCTCTGTTTCAAGATCAACTTTGGCTTTCAGGTAACTCCTGAGTTTTACACTGGTTAGCTGTTTGCACCCACCTTCCCTAACTTGTATCTATGAGGGTAAAGTTCCTTTGAAGTACTAACAATGATAAAAACAAATGACAAACATGTCAGTCCAGCCTGTGGCTTAGCCAGGTGTGACAATCAGATACAGAATAATCTGGAAATGTGCTGATTATCCTGAATGGGATGTGACAATTTAGGACTGGAGAGGACATTTTATGGTTGATAGAACGGAACCTTTTAATCTGTAGGTGCACCCCGACCCCAAACTTGGGAATAAGTGCATGTCATTCGTGCAGACATGACAGTTTTTATTCCGTGTATCGAGACACCAGGTATTTTTCAAGGTGCACTGTACGCATTTTTGCTGTCATGTTTCAGATCTATAAAATAGGTCGTTAGTGCCCCCACTCCACACAACAGGCAGACTTGGGGGAGTCACTCAGCAAAGGGTGGGCAGGAGTCAAGATTCAAGTGAAGCAGTTTGACTCAGTGTTTAAGCCCCTGACACCTTTATATTAGCCTACGTGTCCATAACGTACAAACAGGATAAAAGGGACCAGATTCAGACAACACAGATCCACTTGAAACACACAGAAGCAGCAGCTAATTGTGGTGAGGAAATCCAAAGTCTGGAATTGGGCAGGAGTGTGGGGCAAGTAGTTAAAATGTAAAGATGTTATGGATGAGCTCTGATTGGGCAGGTCTGTGCTGTTTGCTTAGGGATACTAAACGGTAAAGCAGCCAGTAGAGGGAGCAGTGTTGGCTAAAAGGATGGCTGCTGCTGTGCTAGATACTATGTGGCCATCCCCTGTAGCTGTGTTAATCTGGGGATTTTACACACACACACACACACACACACACACACACACACACACACACACACACACACACACACACACACACACACACACGGTGGATATGTTTGCATGTGAAGGCCAGAAGTTAACCTCAGGTGTCGCTCCTCCGGTGCCACCCACCTGGGTTTTTGCTTGTCGGAGATAAATTCTCACCAGCCTGGAGCTTGCTACGTAAGCTCTGCTGGTCGGCTAACAAGCCCCGAGGATCTGCCTGTCTCTGCCTCTCAAGTGCTGGCTTATAACTTGCCACCATGCTTGGCTTTGTTGCCTGGGTTCTGGGGATCAAACACGGGTCCTCATGCTTGCACGGCAAACACTTTACCCACCGAGCCGCGTCCCAGCACTGGGGATTTCTTGTGCTGTCCGATGCTTCTGTCTGCAAGTTGGTCATGCCCCGTTTTACACCAGTGATGCGTATTAGTTTCCTACTGCTGCTGTAACACACACACACACTTCAAGTGGCCTAGAGCAATGCACACGTATTACCTTACCATCCCACAGGGCTGAGGGTGATACTTTGGAGAGATTCTAGAGGAGGATCTATTTGCTTTTTCCAGCTTCTAGAAGTCACCCACATTCCAGGGCTGATGGACTCTTTCTGTCTTCAAAGGCAGCGGTGTAACATCTTCCATTCTCTTCGTCTCCGCCTCACTGACCTTCACAGGGAGCCACTTGACAAACCATGCCAAGGTCCCTAATCTACAGTCTTGGGTTCGAAGAGTTAGGGTGTAGACATTCTGGGTGGGAGGCATTATACCTACTACAGAATATAGGGCCTCATTTCATGGCTGTAAGGATGGCCTCCTTCCACAGCCACAACCTCCCTTACTCCCACTGCCTCATGGACAAGGTCTGTTGCTTTATCTAGGTCTCAGGGCTCCCTGCTTCGACCCTCCCCACCCTCAGCCTGGTTTAGTTCCCTCCTCACACCTTCAGTGGGGCCTCCAAGTGCTCATCTCTACAAGAGGCACTTTCCCCCCACACCCCTCCTCTCACACACTAGCCCAGCCTCCCAATGGATCTCTAAAGGAGAAACACAAAGAGTTATTGCCTTTTAATTACACGTGCTATTGTAGCATCTATAAGGAAGAACATTTTAAGCTTAATTGAGACCAAATGTGAAGTTAAATTAAATGAATAACTAATTAACGTAATGTTCCTGCATTAGCCCCATGTGAGTGCAGAGGCCTGAAAGAAGACAGGTACTGGGCCTCTGGTGAACAGACTGTGCCCAGAGCTGGGGAAGTAAAGGGGGGTGCAGACAACCTGGCCTGGTGAGTACAAAAGGGTACATTTGCAATTTCCCCCAACCTTCTTCATACACCTGCAGCCTAAGCCCTCACTTCTGAAGCCCTGCTCTGGGCTCCCACAAATCTTTTGAAGCTTTGTAATGTCTCTCTTGCCTGCCTGGAGTGCATGTTTGTTCACGCTCTGGTCCTTATGCCTCACACAGGAAGGCTTGACGAGATTCCTATTAGCTCCTCCTGTCTTCCCTGCCTCCCTGCCTTGTCATACAAAGCCTGTGAACTCTGCCCTCAGAAGCTGTCCCATCTGAAGCCACCAGGGACACCCCTACCGGCCCTGTCCCATCAGGTCTGGACTTGATGGACAGTGTAGCCCTCAACTTAGGTCACTACTTATCCCCATGCCCTCTTTGACTTGTATTCTGTCTAGTCTCATATTATGTTTCATCTGCTAAGGAGACATGGGCAGCGAGTGTGATCTGCACTTATCTCCCTCACATCAACGCCATGGTACAAGGAACGGTATTCTTGTTCTAGATGAGGAAACAGGAAGAACATAATAATGAGGCTGGGAGGGAGAAGACTTCCAAGAATCACTCCTTTAACACTGACCTTCAAGGGATGGTGGGGAGGAGTCTGCAAGTCAGGAAAGCGTGCAGGCTTCCTTCTCTAAAACAGAATGGCAACACCTGCCCACCCTGGACTCTATCACGGGATGGTATCACCATCTAGTGGTCTTCAGAAGTAACACAGCTTCGCCTTAAGTTTGCCCCTTCCATATAACACTAGTTAAAAATCCTTTCTGGTCTAGAAAGTTTATGAACACTGAGCAAAATACCATGTGTCAGACCCTGTCTCCTACCAAGTCCTGAATATAAGAGGCTCCTGACTGACTGCTTCCTGCAGAATCAAAGTGAGGATCAGGCATACGAGCTTTATATTTTACTGCTGAGGCCAATGTGTCTAGCGAACGCACTGACCAACACAGCATCCTAGCACATGCAATGATTGTATCTTATATGGGGGTCTAGGCTCCTGCTGTATTGCATGTGTTATCAATGTCATGAGTATGTCCTCTGGGAATGCAGCTGTCACAGCTCCAGAACACTTTGGTCTTTGGTCCAGTGACACTTCTTCACTGCCCTCATGAGCCCCACAGCTGCTGCTAGGCCAGGCCCCACCAAGGATAAGCACAGGCCACTGTTGGCAAAACAAATCTGTATTGGTGCCGATGGGCAGCTTAAAAGTCAGGCGGAAATGCCAGGAGTCAGCCTGGCATGTCATGATCTAGGACTCAGAGTGGAAGGAGCATGTGCATCAGAACACCAGGTAAGAGGAGGGCTGCAAGACGGCTCCAAGCAACTGCCGTGGAGCCGTTACTTGGATGAATCAAGTGGTACACTCGCTTCTTGCTTAACTTGACATCTATGCTCAGTGTTAAGTCATTTCGGATCCATTTCCTGTTCATTCCTACAGGAGGGCTGCCATGCAGGGAGCACCCAGGGCTTAACACACCAGCATTTTCAGTTGTGCCCGACACCCCTAGTCTTCACAGCACCGACCTCAGTGTCTTCGTCCCCTGAGGCAGCTTCAGGGTGAGGCGAGGGGGTGCTGGACTCTGAGGATGGGGATGCTCAGGAGCCAAGAGTGAGTCCCCTCCACCCAGCACTCATGGCAGCTCCCTTGCTCCACTTTAGCCTCGGCTCTGCAAGAGCAGTGCTAATGCTCCAAAGTGGCTGAGTTCTAACAGGATCAATGGAGGGCAGGTACGAGGGTCCTACTTGGGGAAATCCATAAAGACCAGTTCGTGAGCAAAGGGACAGAGAGAGGCCCAGCACCTTTGAAGCAAGGTGAGATGCCCCCATAGGTAGGTACAGGCCAATTACAGAGATTATTTATAATTTAACGTGGGAAGGAGATAGGCATCTTTTCCAGGCTCTGGTCCTTGCTTGGAATCCAAATAAGCAAGAGTCTGAACATGTCTTCCCTTCTGGTTTCAGCCCCATCCCTTCTGATTGTGGCTCCCGGAGCTCCAGGCCTTGAAATCTTCCATTTTCCCAGGCCTGGTGCTAGGCAGTCCCTTCCCATAGTCTTCTGTGCCCTTAGTGGCAGGGTGGGTTTGGGCTGAACTGGTTGGATCAGGAGGCTTTGCCTCACCTTGTGATGGAAGTTTCCAGTCTCTTGCTCATGGGGGAGCACTTTGGGTACCCAGCAGAGACCCTCGGTGCTGCTCTTCCAATTGAGGCCTCATATTTGTTTATATCTGCATGAACAGGAGAGAAGAGATGAAAGAGAAAGTAAGCCACAACTTAATAAGCTTCTGCCTTTCATGTATGCGGTCCGTAATTAGGGTTCCCTTTTACTTCTTGGGCAGGCACTAACAAGCCAGAACAATATGGAAAACAAAGTGTTTCTGCCACATGTGGCCACTTTACAAAGCATCAAACCACGTAAGCCACCTTCTCAGAGAACCTCAGCCCAACCCTACCAGGTGTTTGAGGGAAACATCCCCATTATGTTCAATAATGCAGAGACTTTGAGGAGTTTGCCAAGGTCTTAGAGGTCAGTGTGCAGAGAAACCAAGAATGTCCAGGGACTTGAGGTTCTCAGCCTAGAGCACTCCCTGTTCCAGGAAATCACTGTCCATTTCTTAATGGGCCTTCCAGAAAACCAGCCTAGGAGAGCTGCAGCGCCCACAAAGGCCAGCTATCCCCACAAACCTGGGTTCAGTCTTCGGTCCTGCCAGGCCCGGCCCCTCACTTCAAATGAGAACACCTGCCTCGAGGTGGCTGAGAGATGTGCTACAGTGGACATGGCTGGCCTCCACTCCAGCTCACTACACACTTTTCCCCTCCCTTTCTGCTTTTCTTCCTCTTCCAGGCTCCCCTCAAGCCTAGTCCAGAGAATGTGGGTGAAAGGAGATCAGTCACACTGTCCAGCCCCGTTCCCCTCCTCCAGGGCAGGACACAGGACAGACCCTGTGAACGGCTCCACTTCCAGTACTGCTTCCTGCTTTCAACTTTGCTCCTTATATGAGGCCTTCTTAAAGTGGAAGTACTTCCCCAGATACTGTATAGGTTCTCAGACCCCCAGAGGGGGGTTCTTCACTTTACCATCCAGCCCAGGTCCAGGCTTGGCCAGCTCCTTCTTAGTAAAATACTTCTGCTAGAAGGACCACCAGAAAGGCCCCAGGGACAGTCGCCCAATCACCAGCACCTCAGCCTCTGGCCAGTGCCGACTCAGTCACTGACCTATGCGCCTTCCATACCCACCACCACTGGACACCAGGCAGAAACCACACCGGACTAGCCACTTTGATTGCAATTTGTTCCAGAGGCTTTGATTTCATAGTTGCCTTTTTCCACACACCCCAGGCAGAGGGGGCAGGTGGCTTTGATTTCTGATGTTTAGGAGGCACCTGCAGCTCAGCCTTGGTTCAGAGAAGAAAGGATTCTGTATCTCTGCCCCCTTTGCCCTACGGGTGTGTCCAAAGCCCTCTGTAGCATCTCAGGTCCCCTGAGAAACACTTCCCAAGCACCATGTTCTGACTAGCTTGAATCTCCAGGTATGGCTCCCAAGGAAACAGAAAAAGCTGGTTGGGGTTGGGGGGAAATCACACACAGGAGAGGAGAAGATTCACATGCAGCCCACATTCTGATGGCGTATTAGTCAGACTTGAAGAAAATACTCACAAACTCACGGGACTTGAGGAAAATACTATCGCGGGTGGGTTAGGGCCAGACTAGAGCTATGGAGACACACGGGGACAAGAGGGGAAAGGTTAGCAGGTCTGGGGTGGGATGGGGGTCCAATGGTACATCAAGGACCAGGAGCTGCTTCGGTGTTCCTGAGGCCCAGGATGGACCAGCACAGACAGGGGACAGAGTAACTGAGCACTGGGTAGAGTCCCAGAAGTGATGTTAGGAGCAGGGCTTCCTCTGTTCCTGAGGCCCAGGATGGACCAGCACAGACAGAGGACAGAGTAACTGAGCACTGGGTAGAGTCCCAGAAGTGATGTTAGGAGCAGGGCTTCCTCTGTTCCTGAGGCCCAGGGTGGACCAGCACAGACAGAGGACAGAGTAACTGAGCATTGGGTAGAGTCCCAGAAGAGATGTTAGGAGCAGGGCTTCCTCTGCTAGGGAACTCACCCGCTGCTTCTGCTCCGGGACATCTTCCAGGCCAGGATCTCTTTGTACACCAACCTGCAGAGGAGCTGTGGGGAGTTCAAGGCAGAGAGGGAAGGGAAGACACTGTGATCTTCCAGGCTCAGCTGATCCATGGGCCAGATGGCTGAGAAAAACAGCATTCCCCACAGGAAGACATTCTGAGCAAAAGGCAGCTACCCTTGACTCACCATCCCAGAAGCCCTAATGTTTCATGCCAGAGTTCCAGTCTGGAGACATTCCCCAATAGCCATCCATGTACCCCAAGAACTCTTACCAAGCAAGCCAGGACATCGGCAGAGATGAGCATGTAGAAGACGTTATTCCAGCCTGTGGGGGAAATCAGCCCGGCCAGCAGGGGCCCCAGAGCCGCACCTGTACACAACAGTTTCATGAAAGCAGGATACATACCTTCCCTGACCACCTTGGGCAGTGCACCTAGGGGTCCACCCAAGACAAGGCTGGGGTTCAGCTGCCAGGAGCCCAAACCAGTAACAAACCTATGGAACCAGTGCCGTCGATGATGGCCGTGACAGTGGAAAGGGCCTTGGCGTTACCCTTCAGGCTCTCATGTGTGCCCTGGGGAGAGAGAGTAGGGTGGGACAGCCCAAGCTGAGCAAAACCACTGCGTAAAAGTAGCGTTGGGAGAAAGCTAACTTGAGGAGGGTGGTGATGGGGTCCTGGGGTTGAGAGGAAAGAGCCCATGGAGGTTCTACAGGACAACAGAGCCCCTGACCAAGTCCTCAGACTGGCCTGATACCCAGGAGTGGCCCACTCACCAGGTCAGCAGAGACCGCCGTAGTGATCAGTGCATATGGGCCATTGACCAGGACCCCACAGATAATTAACATCACTGGGAAGACAGCAGAGATGGTATTCTTAGAGATGAGGGGCTGGGTGCAGCCCCACGGCCAGAGCAAGCAACACTCCCTGGCCTTGACCTCACACCCACTTCATGGAGCTCCCCAGGCAGAGCCTCTCTAGTGATTCACACCACCTCCTCACCTATGGAGCTGGCTATTCCATTCTGGCCAACGTAGTTGTACAGGAACATCTGAAAGAGGAAGGAGACAGTCGAAGCTGGTTTCCTCTTGCTGGGCTAGACCAGAGTCTGGAATAGCCACCTGCTCTGGAATGCCACGTATCACTTCCCTCCTTGTACATCCAGACTTCTCAAGTCTTTGTCCCAGAAATGGATGGTCAAACCATGTAATCTCTAATTTCTCTTTTTTGTTGTTGTTGGGTTTTTTTGTTGTTGTTGTTTTGAGATGAGTGTCATGCAACATAGGCTGTCCTGAAACTCACTCTGTCACAGGCTGTCCTGAAACTCACTCTGTCACAGGCTGTCCTGAAACTCACTCTGTAGCTGAGGAAGGCCTTGAACTCCTGATTCTCCCTGCCTCTACCTCCCAAACATTGGGATTACAGGCATGTACCATCAGGTATGGCTCTATAATTTCCCTTTCCCCAAAAAAGTCTTCTCTTGTGTCTATCCTCAACCTCTTTATTATTCCTTGGTCAAAACATGGAGCAGCTGGTGTCCCTTTTTTCACAGGGCCTGGTCCTCTGCTGACTCTCACTTCTCTTTCTCCACATGTGCCCAGGAATACATGTGCACATATGTACAGAGAGACAGCTATGTATGCACATGTAGAGATGGACGCACAGGTATGAGGTGCAGACCCCTGATCACAGCATATGCACTCTGAGATTATAACATACCATGGGAGCAGCCAGAATCAGCATGATGCAGCAAGTGGTGGCCCTGCCGTTGGTGTAGTCACTGATGAGCCCTGCCATGATGCCACCTGGAACACACGTTCACTCACACGCTGTTCCTGACACAACCATCCTGTTCCTCATCTGCTGCCCAGTTCTGTTCCATCGGCCTGCCCAGTGCTGGCCTGACCTTAGGAAAGACCATCTCTCTCTCTGCAACCTTCCCCTGCACCCATCACTCCAGGAAACCGAAGCACAAAGATCATCTTTCTTAGGCCCATCCAGCCTCGCAGGAGCACAAGTGAGAACATGCCAAGAGCCTTTCTTCTCTGGGGCCACTGCCCAGATCATGGCCTGCTGTCCCTTCTTTCTACACCTCTGCAAAGAAGCAAGCAGGAAAGACAGCCTGCCAGGACAAAAGGACAGGGGCTCACCTATGATGCCACCAACATCGAAGAGTGTGGATAGGTCCCCAGCCTCCTTGGCACTGAAGTGAGCTATGGAAAACACAAAAAAAAAAACATGATCAGACACATAGGGAGGCTGGGGCAAATGTCCTGAATGCCACAGCTGGAAGGGTCCCTGTGGGACATTGGTCCAGACCAAGGAAGAAGCTGAGGGCCTATGGTCAAGTGATTGGCCAGGGCCACAGGGTGAGTTTGCAGTAGCTTGGGATATACTCCTTCAGGCTCCAACTCCTAAAATTCCCTCTTTCCCTGAAGGATGGCCTAGACCTTTCAGAGCAAGGTCTCTCCTACAATCCTGGTGTGCCTCTAGCTCTTTCTCCTGGAGTGTAAAGTTCTGACTGAGCTTCGGCCCAACCACCCATTTCTGATCTAGAAGCAACCTCTACAAGGGCTCTTCCTAGGCAGACCACCTTAGGTCTGTGCTAATGCCCACAGCCACAGGAGACCTGCAGGAAGACGGGGACCCTGGGCTTAGAAAAGGGGAAGACCCAGAAGCTTGACTTGTAACTCCACCCTCAAGGCTGATTCATACCCTGAAGTCAGCATCAAAGCCACAAAACAAAAGGTCACAACGCCTACAAAAGTGCCCTAGTACTCCACCAGTATCAGAGAGAGGGGCCCCTCATTTAGAGCTATGGGGCAAGCTACAGTTTGAGATCTGGTGACTAATCCCCATAGTTTCCTGGTCTCCCATTCAGAGTTAATGTGTGGGGGGCAGGAGAACCATTGTTCCTTTCCAGAGTTGAGAAAGAGTGAAACAGCCCTGGGTGAAAGGTCCTGAATAAGGGATGGGGCTCTCAGAATCCTGGAGGTCAGGAAAGCAGAACATGGTGCTTTTTTGGTGTGTTACCCATCAATGGCAAAGCAGAGACTCTGAGCAGGTAGAACTCAAACAGTGAGTTCTTTCATCTTTACATCCTTGGGTAGGGGCAGTAGAGAGCAGCCATTGCATGAGGCAGCTTTCCCAGAAGACCCCAGTACAAAGACACCACTCTCATGATGGTCCTTGGAAGAAGAGCCTCGGAGTCTGGAGTAAGAAAGCTCACACAGCCTGTTCCTTGAGTTGGAGGTGTTCAAGGCAGACTTCTGCCCACCTTTGGACCAAGCAGCCCACACACAGGTTGGATTGCAGGACACAGCTTTATGCTCCTAAGGTCCAACTCAGCTCCAAGGGGACAAATGGCTGGAGACAGTGCATGGGGCTCAGCATCCTACTTAATGAAGTAACCAAGCAAATCTCCCAACCTGCCGGGCGGTGGCTCACGCCTTTATTACCAGCACCCGGGAGGCAGAGCCAGGTAGATCTCTGTGAGTTCGAGGCCAGCCTGGTCTGCAGGGCGAGATTCAGGACAGGCACCAAAACTATACAGAGAAACCCTGTCTCGAACCCCCTGCCCCCCCCCAAAAAAAAATCCCAACCTAAGAGAGGCTCAGCCTTTCTTAGTTTGTGTACCAGAATCAAACCCAGGTCTGGTGTCCTCCCTGCAGCAGCAGAGACCCTTTTTCTCGGCTCTTCTTCCCCTTGGACTGACTCACCCACATTGGAGATATACAAGGGCAGCCAGTAGAGGAAGGTGTAGCTGACCAGCTTGGCAAAGAGCAGACATAACGAGAACTCGATCACACCCTGGGCAGCACAAGAGAGGGCACAATGGAAAGGTGCTCAAGAGACCCCTGATCCAGTGGGGGTCCCACAGATAGGACAGTACTCCCCCATGACTATGATCACGTCCATACAAAGCGACCTCAAATAGACAGCCCACCCTAATGGCAGCAATGTGCCTAATGCTTCATGTCATGTCAAGACAGTCTTCCCGAGCAGCCACCCTACAATCTGGACAGAAATTCTTGAAACCACTTGCCACCCACATCCCATCCCCTAATGTCTGATGGAGAACTCGAGAGAGAGTCTCTTCCCTTCGTTCCACAAACATCTCACCGGAATTTTGAGTGCCCCCAGAAAACTGATGGCTTCAGGCTCAGAGCCCTGCTCCTTGGAGGAGCTGACTGCAATGTCCACATTGGACTCCCTGTGGGAATAGGGACCATTCACAGGATCCTCGGGGTTGTCTCGTTCCTTCTCCAGGTCACCCTGAGCAAAAGAGAAGATCCCTCTTTGTGGGCAGGGCCACTTACCAACCTTCTCTCATGGGAAGGGTGGCCCAGGTAAGAGGTAGGGGGCACCCATCCTGGAGGTGGTGGTGTATGCTTCTCTCTTTGGGCTGGCAGGCCCATCTGGTTGTGGGGCAGTTAACCCAAGAGCCCAACACGGTCTGTGAAGTCACTAGGTGGTCCCCTCCTTCAACAACTTGCCCTCCCATGGCCAATTCATGCGAGGCAGTCAGGGCTAGGGCTGGGATGGTATACTCACATGGTGCTGAGGAGGGGTGCAATCCACATCTTCTGGATCTGGGGGAAAACAAAGACCTTTCTGAGAAGCTTGCCAGTAGGTCAGCCCCTCACTTTACAGTGGGCCTCAGGGTCCAAGCTAGTGCAGAGTTAGCCCTGCACACCCCGTGTGGCCCCCAGCGTTAAGGGAGCAGGCTTTCTAGAGCAGCTGCCTCTCCTTGGAACGATGTCATGACTGCCCTTGGATGAGTAGCGATTCTCCTGGCCTTGCCAACTCAGGGCTGTCAGAGAATGGGGAGAAAACAGTATCCGTCGGAATGTAAGAGGCACAGCCCTTTAGCAGAGCACCCACTATAGACACAATATTTAAACTACATCGTCCCTCTTACGCCTTCAGAAATCCTTGGGAACAAGTACTACTGTCACTTTATAGATGAAAAGAAACAGTTTCAGGGTCACAGAGCTAGTCGTTCAATATCCTGAACAGCAATGCTCACGGAATATTTTCCAGCCTCTTCCTCCCATAAGCATCCCTTAGAGCACGCGGGTGGGAAGGGGCCACTCACATTCAATAAGAAAGAGGAAAGTGATGACGCCCATGATAGCGGTGACAATGCCAGGCACGATAAATGACAGGCCCCACTGCTGGTTCACCCAGACTCCAGCAATCAGGGAGCCCAGAATGTTGCCCACAGAAGTGTGGGAATTCCAGATGCCCATGATGAATCCCCGCCTGGAGAAAAGGGAAGGAAAAGGGATACAATAGAAAAAATCCCCCACCCAGCCAAGCTCAAGAGGCTGGCTACCTCTAGCCTCCAGCTGTACACACAACTGAGATTTTTCAGAGACCCCAAAGACAGTGCAGAAAAAGCTTTGGGCTGCTGTTAAGCAGCAGGTCACAGCACTGCTTGGAGGTCCCTTGCTTTAGCCAGCCCCCTGGGCAAGCACAGATGGGAACCCTGACCATGGGGAAACCATGGACCTTCCATTCTTCTCTTCTGACCCCCATCAATACCACTCTAAAACAGTAGTCTCCAACTGGGCATGATTCTGCCCCGGAGGGGACATCTGGAAACATCTGGAGATTTTCAGTGGCCATGACTTGAGTTTTGTTACTGGCATCTAGTGGGGAGATGCCATGCACACTGTAAAAACGGTGTGTGGGGCAGCCCCCGGAACAGAGCTGAACAGTCAGACCAACAGTGCTGAAGTGAGAAACTGAGGCAACCTCATACAAAAGCCAGTCCAAGAAAACAGCGTTGTGGAGCCCTTTGACCTTCAATCAAAAATTATAATACACCTGGTATGGGAAGCCTGTCTGCTCTATGGGTTAAACCCTAAAGACGAGAAAAACGGCACTCCCCATTAGCCCCAGAGATGTTCCTTCTCAGTGGGTGAGACCCAGCAAGAAGACACATTTTCTAACCCGATCTCCTGAAAGTACTCTGGGCACCACCCCCTCCCCTCGCTGGGTCCTTCCCACCTCCTCATCACACTCACTTTCCCTTTCCAAACCAGTTGCCAACGCAGGTCACCACAGATGGCCAGCCCGTAGTCTGAACAAGTCCGTTGCAGATCTGTAGGAGAAGGGTGGGAAGGTGAGTGAGTTCACCCACCCTGGGTAGAGGAGGTTCAGTGTCACAGCTGAGGAGCCCCTCCACACCCTACATTTCCCCCCTTTGCACATCCACACACAGTGTCATGAACTGGCTTCTAGCTCAAGATCATGTGAGCTGAGCCCGGCCTTCTCGTGCATCTGAAGCAGCTTCTGTGCAGTATCCAAGGCAGGCTTACTGAGCCAGTCATGCATGACTTTGGGGGAACAGGGCCCTGAGTGGGGTGACAGAAGGAGTCTGGGACTGGAGCAAGGAGACCGAGTTCCTGTCTGCTCTGACCTGGGGGTGGCCAGGGACCTCAAGGGACCTCTCTTTGAGGGGAACAAGTGCAGGACAGACTCATACCTGGATAAGCACAAAGTACCAGAGCATGTGGATATTCCAGAAGTACCCCAGGCCAAAGAGGGAGGTGAACAGGCCACTGAGCACCATTCCAGCTGAAAGGTAGTAACGGAGGGGCAGCCGCTCCCCAAAGATTCCACTGGAGAAAAGGACAGGAGTGAACTCCAGGTTAATGCCATGTCCACTCTACCACCTCCCTCTCCCATTGCATGTTGCTGAAGCCACTGTGGCCACGGTTACCAGTGATGACCTGTGTCCTTCTGCATTCCAAGACTGACTCCAGCCCTCACTTCCAAGGCTCCTCTGCTTTATCTGACACTGTTCTGACATTCTGCTGCCTATGTCGATCCCTGCTGGCTGGCCATTCTACATTTTTCCTTTCAGCACATCCCTGTGTGTCCCTTTATGCTCCAGGGTCATATCCAGACTGCCTTTTGGGTACCATTACTTGGCTGTCCCTAAAGCAAGGGACACTCAACACTGTAAATTCTAAATTCTCCCTCCTCCTTTCATCACAGAAGCCTCTGTCCCCAAGTTCAGCAGCTTAGGCAGCTGTCACGCTGGCTTATAACCTTGCTATAACCTGTCTTGTCCACTTCAAGCCTACCTCAGCTTCTCCCTCACACCGAGCTAAACTCCTCCCATGGTTCTCCCTTCCACAGCCTGGAGCAGGCCCTCTGCAAATGACCTTATCCTTCAGGCCTGTCTCCTGCTGTCGCTTCCCTCAAAGCTCCCCTTCTGGTAACCCTGTGAAGGTTCACCGGCACTCCAAGCGGTTCCCTACTTGCCTGTGTTCACTGGCGCCCCCCACCTGGGTGTCCTTCCCCACTGCCATGCCCATGGTTCGTCACATTTCAGGGCTCATCTGGAATGCCTTCCTTAACTCCTTGTCTTCAATCCCAGCTTGCACTGCATGATCACCCAACATGTCAATAATTTTCAGTGAGCTGCTGAGATAAGGAAGGGTCTTTCTCCTAGGCTGTGAGCTCCTCAAAGGTCACACCCTGCCTTGTCCACCTGTGACTCCTGGCAGCAAGCTCGGTGCTGGCCAGGTGAGACCCACACTGGTTGTATAATTTAGACAGCACTGTGTAGGCTCTCCTTTGGAATCTACATGTCCAGGGCTTAGAGGACCCTGGTCTATACCCACCAATGCTTCCTGTCCACCAGGCAGAGGAACAGGCTGGTGACCACAGTGAAGAAAGGAGGCTGGCCATGGGCTAACGACCTGGGTGGGGCCTCGGCCTCACACCCACACCTAGGTACTATCAGCTTTCTTGCCTTAGCCTGCAGCCCCAGGTCAATCAGGAGAAGCAGCAGTTATGAAGCATCTACCCCACCCCCACCCCCAATGGGCATAGGCTCTGCCTTTCTCTTACCTAATAAACATGCCAATGGCATAAGCCACTAGGAAGGCATTGTCCACAGCTCCCAGTAACTCCTTGTAGTCATCTTTGTCTGAAAGCAGATGGGAAAGACAAAAGAAAGTTGGCTGGGTGGCTATCCCCACAGAGAGGGCAAGTCGAGAAGAGTGATGCACCCTGTTCTTACCAAATGGACTCCAGCTGCACCAGGTGGTATCATTGGGATCGTGGGTGTCATTGCCGGGCCTGACCAGCTCTGAGCAGTTCTGGTGCAGGCGGCTCTGGAAGGCAAAGGAACACATGGGTCAAGGGTCATATCATCCCCTGGAGCCCACTCGGCCCAGAGAGAAGCAAGCAACCTGCTACTCAATCACAAGCACCACTGCTTCCCACCACAATCCATGCTCCCTCCTGCCAGCACTCCCTCCAACAGGGGTAGGTGGCCATAAGACGTTCAGGAATGGAATCCACAGAGCCTGAAGCCTCTGCCTTCCTAGCTCACCCGAACCGAACAACAGTGCTGTCTGGAAGGTAAACTTAAAGGGCACATGTAGGAAAACATTGCAGGAGGGCTGCAGGAAAGAGCCACCAACGATGGGTATCTGCCAGGTGGAAGGAGCAGTTCCGGTGACCAGGGTAAAGGAATTTGGAAGGCGATTAACCAACATGTCCTGCAGTCTCCCTTTCCAACCAGCCTCACCTTTACAATGCTGATGGGCTTTCTGGACATGTGATAACAGGCATAAACGAGGAAGGTGAGCAGCAGGATGAAGCCACGGAACCTGGAGGAGAGAGGAGCAGCCAAGTCTCCTGAGGCCCAGCCACAGTATCCTCCAGACCTCAGCACCAACGCTTTCCCTTCAGGCTCTCTTCTAGACTCAAGTTCCCAGGGCACAGGTCAAGAGTGTCTAGGAGCTAAGGACCTCTGTTGGAAGCACCTCCCCTGTTCCTGCCACCTTCTTTCCAACCCTTAGCCCTTCGGGGGTCTTACTGAGGCAAGGCTGTCTCTGTGTCTGGATATGTGGAACAGCTATGGCCACAGAGAGTTGGAATCATTTTCTAAATGTCAGAAATGATGGGCATGGGATGGAATTAAAGGGGAGGGTCTGTCTGTAGAGTGAGGTCCAGATTCCCCTTGTGCTTAGAGGACAGCAGACTTGGTCTGGACTATAGGAAGAGATGACTGAGCTGGGACAGCTGATGGCAAAACCTGAGTCCTCTCCCTCATGGTCCCTGGCTCGTCAGTTCCCCTGCACAGAAAGATTATTTCCTCTGTGGCTCACATGTCCCATGTGCCCTCCTCTGCCCTACTTCTTAATAGATGTGCTGGCCAGATGGAAAGAACCGTCTAATCCGAAGTCTCCCCAAGTTTCCACAGTACCATACCCACTTCACCTCACCCAAGGGTCTAGGGAGGATCCTGCAGTGCCCTCCTGAGTCACCGTTTCCCCAGCAAGGCATCGGCTGAGCTGAATCAGCAACCAGGAACCAGGAGGTATATGGAAAATAGATCTCAGAATGGGGCTGAGTGTACAGCTCAGCAGTAGGACACATGATTAGTATGCTTGAGGCCCTGAGTTTCAACCCACCAACAAACCAACCAACCTGGAAGAAAATGTCAGACATTGGAAGAGGACTCAGTGCCTCGGCTCATTAAAGAGAAGGGTCGGGGAAAGAGTGAGCAGGCCCTGGATCCCTCATCTCTCTTGGCTCCAGGAACCTAAGGCAGATACCGGATGCTCACCCTGCCCTATCTGGTAATCTATCTACCTCCAAACTCTAAACTCACTTCCCCCAAGCATGTAATTAAGCAACACAGGCCACCTCTTGTGAAACAAAAGGTGTTTCTGCAAAGCCTTAATTGAGTTGAGCTACCAAATCCTGTCTCACTTTGCCCTGAATTTTAGTTTCCTACCTGGACATCAGTTTCTATTCTCTCCATGGCCCTGTATTTTTTCTTCTAAACCTTGGATGGTGGTGCACACCTGTTGTCCCAGCACTCAGGAGGCTGAGGCAGGAGGATTGGGAATCTGAGGCCAGCCTGGGCTACATAATGATACCCAATCTCAAAGCATCTCCTTGGTTACTTGTTCCCAAGGCACCTATGTCAATTGCACAGGTCTTCTAGGGACTTCAAGGGAGCCAAGGCTACCCCAAGGTGCCTGCCTGTCCCAGTGATTGACATCATAAAGCTTGACACCAAAGTCTTCCAGGTCTACCAATTGCCATATGGCTGATTCCTAGTTCAGGATTTCTAGAATTCTGTTAGGGAGAGAGGACCCAGCTAGCCCAGGCAAAGAGCAATGGATGGGCAGGCACTGCAACCCTATAGTTAACTGGGCTGTTGCCTAATCCAGGGAAAAGCAGACGGTTTTGAGGGATACCTTCCACTCACTCACCAGGTAAGCCTTCTGCCTCTGGCTTCTTCAATTGTACATGGATGATAGCATCAGCCCTACCTAGGTCACTCTCGTCCTGGTCCCCGGGTACCTGTGGTACCACCTTTAAGTGCCACACAGCTCAGCTTCTGTGACCACTATCTTGGCTGACCATGTAGAGGGGCCAGGGTCCTTGCCAGGATGTGTGGCCACAGTCACAACCCATCAGATCCTATCTGGTTCTGAAAGCTCTTTAGGAGCTCAGGTCCCACTGTGTCCCCTGAGAGCCCAGCAGTGCTGAGTGATCAATAACAGACCCTAGTATCACCTCGGAAGTCAGGCTGCACCTCAGCAGACACTCCAGATGCCTCCAGGAATGGACAGAACCAGCTGTCCAGACCCTTCCCCTTAACTCCCAAACTTCCACACTGCTCTACTCCCACACACCAGGAGCTTCCAGAGAGGAAAGTCCAGCCCATCTTTCCCTGGCTTTCTCCCATCTGAGTTCCCAGATGTTCATCCTTATCTGCTTCATGCCCCTTTCATCCAGAGTTCCATCCCTCCCAACCATGGGTAGGAAAAGCCATTGTAGAGAACAGGCATATTCGTGTCCAAATCTAACATCCTGATATTCTTGGAAAAAACAAGACTGCTTTTGCATCCACGCATGTGCCTACCATGTCACAGGCACCACACTAGGGATGTCACAATCGCAAGAGAAATGGGAAGAAAGATCTGATTTCTGGAGCTCACAGATCAGTGGGGGGAAACAAATATGAAGAATTGGGGTGACTGTGTCATAAAAGCAGGAAGCCCCGTGCGACAAGGAAGCACAGGGGGGGACACCAAACCCAGTGAGATGTAAGCAGTGTCCGAAACGGGAGATGTCATTTCAAAATCAAGCAGGAGATGGCTAAGTCAACCAGGGCTGGGGGTGGGGTATGTGCCAGGCGACAAGCATGAGCGAAGGCAGAGAGGCGTGAAATAACAGTGCCAGTTTGGGAAAACTGTTTGGCCTAGGATATCTGGAAGGGGAGACTGAGCCAAGCACAGGAGGAAAAGTGGCTGGATGAGGTAGGGCCCTGTGTGCCAAGAAGTAGAGTTTGGACTATCTCCTGAGGAGGACTAGAAGCCGTCAGAAGGGCTGTGCTTTCCCAGGTGAGGGTGCTGTGGATATGAGCCAGGTGAAACCAGGGAGAAGCCCCATGTGGGCTTCCTCACCACAAGGTAGTGCCAGTCCCTGTGCCTTTCCATTCTGTCAGCCACTTCGGGGTGCATGGCAGCCTCACAGGATGCCCTAGGTTTCAAGTTCATGTCTATAGGGGCAAAGAGTAAGGACTTAGAATTAGGCAAAGCATGGTTTTCTTCCCCAAATCTGTTTACTCCTCTGAGAAGTACTTTTTCCAGCTTGTTTACGGAACTCCTGACAGACGTTACAGATCTTACAGCATTCCTAAAACCCAGGACACTTACAAAGGGCTGGTTCTGTTTCAGATTAGCACATGAAGAAGATCCGGAAGGACTAGAGGCAGTTCTTGCTGCTAATACAAGGGGGAGTTTGGGCCTTTATTCGCCTGGCAGAACTATGGAGGCCATCAGCCCCTCCTCCTTACCTCTCCAGGATGCTTAAGTCTCCTAGGACACAAAGTCCTGGGGTTGTTTAGGATGGGTGGGAGGGAATCTGCAACCATACAGGAAAGTAATTCTGGGTAGCTGAGGTCTTCCTGGGGCAGACAGGAGGATTAGCCAGTCCATACTGGCATTCTGACCTGTGATTTTTTTTTTTTTTCTTTCAGACCTGCAGGGGCCTGCCCAACCTAGATTCCAACCTCCAACAAAAAACCTGACCCCTAAGTCAGCAGGAAGGACAGGACCTTTGAGAGCCAGGGTTCCTTGGCCGTGCTGCCTGGTGTTTGCCTGACACTCTGGGGCTTCCTGCCTGGCCTCTAAAGGGTGGAAGGTTAAGCTCCAAGTCACAGCTCTGGCTGGGCCCCAGCCTCCTTGGAGCCAAGCCTCCTACTAGCCAGGCTCTTTTCAGGTGTTCATGGAAAGGGCCCCAGGTGCTGTCATTCAAAGGGGCCCAGGAACATGGGGGTAGGTTAAGGGTGGGGCTAGACTGAGGCTGCAGATCTGAAGCTCATTCACAGGCCTGACAGCTGAGGACTCTGGGCGGGGCAGGACCTGTAGGTGTCACTTCTCACAAGCCCTTCCCCTCAGGACCCAGAAGCAGGGAGAAGACTTGCAGAGGCATGGGGCTAGAGATGGCCGTCCTGGTGCAGAGCTGGGCAGAGCAAGCAGTCCAGGGCCAAGGAACATGTGGGGGAAGGCCCTCAGAACACTCCACGTGGGGCTAGCTGCCCCATGACCCTCTGAAGCTTTTTAAGCAAGGGGTGGCACTTCTTAGAGTCCCACCTCCTCCACTAGATGGTGGTTACTGAATAACCAAGTCAGATAGAGGGGGACCAGCTATCTCTTAGCGATTAGCTGACAACCCAGCTCATTTTTTCCCAGCACCTAGATAATAGCTTTATCAACTTCATTAAGACTTTGCACTAAGAATGATTCTGGGCTAGGAACAGGGAGCAATCTGTCACAAAGTAGCAACAGATAATGAACAAACACCACCCTTAAGTACCCTGCTCACCACCGCCACCACCACCACCACCACCACAAGCTAACACGACCCCAAGAGCAGCCTTTGATCTCTGGAGGGGTGGAAACAGACCCCTCTCCTCAGTCACCCCTGCTCCCGGCCTCCTCCTCCTCCTCCTCCTCCTCTGTCTACAGACAGGCTTTTCTCTGACAGCCCTGACCATGACGGAGAGACGATGGGGTTTAAATTCGGTCATTCATCGCCACCCCGGCTTCAACCTGGGACAGCCTCGAAGACCAACGTCAGGATGTGGCTGCAGGTGACCTTGGCACTTCCCCCGAGGAAATGAACCTGGTGATCTGTTCTTGGGTGTGCCTGTTCTGGGGTCAGCAGTTCTGAAAAGGATAGAGGGCTGGGTACAGTAACAGCCAGACCAGGGTCAAGGCGGACTTGCCACCACCCTCACCCTCTACCAAGCCCTCCACCAACACCAGGAGATAGCCTAATGGGGAAGGGCCAGCCAAGAACAGAGACCCAAGGGCAGAGTCCTGGGTCATGCCTGCCGTGTACAAGAGTGAGCAGGGCCAGGCCAGGCTGGGAAGGCCTCTGAGGAGAAAGCTTTCTTGGGGCAGGGATCAGGCCCATGGAACCCCATACCTCTTGTCCTCCTCCTCTAGCTGGTACTGCTCTGAGAGACAGAGATGATGTAGGGCTCAGCACGCTAACAAGTGAAAGCTCCACTCTTCTGAACCTTTGTTCATGTGCAGCGGGGATGGGGGTGTGCTGATGGCCACAGAGCTGTTGTCCTGCC